AAAATAAAGTCCTTGAAAAGTCGACAGATTTTTAAAAACTTAAAATTCGCAATTTATTAAATAGTTGTAGTTTTTTTAAAATTCCGTAAAAATGATAAAAATTAAACAGAATAATCAAAAAATAGTTACAGTTTTACCAAAGCTACAGATTGCATTGCATTTTTTGAAATTTTTATTTCCTTACTCATATTTTTACTAAGACACTTTAGAGGATTTTTTAAAACAAAGTCCTTGCAAAGTCGACAGATTTTTAAAACTTGAAATTCGCAGTTTATAAGTATTCGTAGTTTTTAAAATTCCGTAAAAATGATAAAAATTAAACAGAAATAATCAAAAAATAGTCACAGTTTGACTAAAGCTCCAGGTTGCATTTAAAAGCTCATAACTTTCAAAACGATCTAATATTTTTTCTATTTTTTTATCTTTCTTGGCGTTGAGTTCTGGGACACCCCGTATATATTAGGTTGTCAAATATCTCCCTTCCGCTTTTTTGCTCTTGGTTTATAATACAAAAAGGCGGAAGGGAGATAGATATTTGACAACCTAATATATTATATTGAGCTTTATAAAAATTCTTATCTCATTCGAAGCTACAATATAATTTGAGCATCATTTCACATTTAAGACACTTAGTATTTGAATAGTAAAATAAATACATATTTATATTTAAACTTACCGTATATATAATATATAAATTCAATTCTTATGGTAACTATAATGCAAAATTTGTATGAATCAATAACATAATTTTCGATTGTTTGTTTGAGCAATCTTCCACTCGGGTAATAAATTAAAATAAATTCAAATTAATCGGTAAAATTTGGAAGTTGGCTGAAAGATGTAAAATCTAGTCCTCGACGACTTTGTTCCTTCGGCCTAAAATCTTCATAAGCTCTTTCGACATGTAATAAGGTCTTTCAGGTGATCCATCATTTCGTTCGCTGTCTTCCACTAAAGAGAAAAATAAATAAAATATAATCAACTTACTTATTTAGGGACCTATTCTGCCGCATAATAGAAAATGAAGCTGGATCAGAAAGACCCTGTTATGTATAGTGTTAGAACGAAATATCGAGTACTGAGTAAATATCGATACTTTGCGGTCGATAGTGAGTACTTTTGCTATCGATTTTTTAGCTCGATCTATTTGCCGATATCGATTCTTTTCGTCGATAGTATTCAAAAAGAATCGACAGCGTAATCTATTAACACCACTCATTGCCAAATACAAAGCAATAGTCTCTCTAGGTGGTCATAATTGTTCAAAAAAGTGTTAAAAAATGATCCCGAAGGGTCATTAGTCTCAGAATTTATTGCTCAAAACCCTAAAATGCATATGACCACACTAATAAATAAAAATGTTTATTAATTACTCTTATGTAAAATGAAATGGCTTTTTAAAGTACCTTAAATGTTTTATTAAAACATATTCAACAATCGAAGTATGATTATTTCAAATAATAATACTCACCAATTTCAATATAATAGGTTGTCAAATATCTCCTTTCCGCCTTTTTGTATTATAAACCAAGAGCAAAAAAGCGGAAGGGAGATATTTGACAACCTAATATTAGTATTTTACGTAACAAAGAATCGAAATATAATTATTTCAAATAATAATATTCATCAATTTCAATATATTAGTATTTTGCGTTTATTATATTTCGATTCTTTTTTACGCAAAATACTAACATATTGAAATGGATGGGTATTATTATTCGAAATAATTATATTTCGATTCTTTTTTACGCAAAATACTAATATATTGTGATGGATGATTATTATTATTCAAAATAATTATATTTCGATTCTTTTTTACGCGAAATACTAATATATTGAAATGGATAAATATTATTATTTGAAATAATTATATTTCGATTCTTTTTTACGCAAAATACTAATATATTAAAATGGAAGAGTATTATTATTTGAAATAATTATATTTCGATTCTTTTTTACGCGAAATACTAATATTAGGTTGTCAAATATCTCCCTTCCGCCTGTTTGTATTATAAACCAATAGCAAAAAAGCGGAAGGGAGATATTTGACAACCTAATATATTGAAATGAATGATTATTATTATTTGAAATAATTATATTTCGATTCTTTTTTACGCAAAATACTAATATATTTTAATGGATGAGTATTATTATTTAAAATAATTATATTTCGATTCTTTTTTACGCGAAATACTAATATTAGGTTGTCAAATATCTCCCTTCCGCCTTTTTGTATTATAAACCAATAGCAAAAAAGCGGAAGGGAGATATTTGACAGCCTAATATATTGAAATGAATGATTATTATTATTTGAAATAATTATATTTCGATTCTTTCTTACGCAAAATACTAATATATTGGAATGGATGAGTATTATTATTTGAAATAATTATATTTCGATTCTTTTTTACGCAAAATACTAATGTAATGAAAATTTTTGAATATCAACATGCAAACATATGGGTTTGAGTTTCTCGGAACCATTTAAACTTTAAATCTCATCGCTCCGAAGGGATGTTTTTCTACAAGTGTCGAAATATTATCTTGACCGTCATTAAAATGAATGTTTATTGCTTTCCAAAGAGCTTCATATTGCACTTTTATGTTAACATGTAACGGCTTTTTAAAGTTGCAAATTATAAAATATTATTTTAGTTAAAAATATTAAACATATTATTTTTGTACTTAAAAATACTTAAAATGTATTGCTTTTTAAATATAGTATCAGACTATTATATTGTTTTAATCAAAAATACTCAACTATTATTACTTGTCTTTTTTTTGAAAAATTATAGAATTTGAAAGTAGTATTGAAAAATTACTGTTAAAATTTTACAATATTGAAAATGATTCTGATTTAACACATCAGATACAAGCAATAGAATTTATTCTAATATTGTGATATGATATTTAATGAGTTTTAGATCTTTTTTGCACTTATGTTTGTTTTTTATGAAAAGTACTCAAAATTCGATATTGAGTACTATCGATACTTTCGCCACAATATTTTTTTGGCATCGATATTTTGATTAGATACTTTTTAAAGTGTCTCAATATCGATCTTTTGCCTCGATACTTCTAACACTAGTTATGTAACATCGTTTCTAGGTTAGATTTTCTATCTGACAACCTGAGAAATAGGCCTAACTGCACAGCAACCGCATGGCTTCTGTCAATATCTTCTTAATACAATGGCCTTGCCATAAAATTTTTCTATTATGCGGCAGAATCTGTCCCTTAGTCTTAAATATTATTTATACTTACAAAAGCACAAAAGTAAAGTATCGACAGCCATATCATAAACACCGAAGAAGACGCATGTTATAAAGAATGTCCCGATGACAACCAAAATCACAGGGGCGTATCCATAATGCAAGGAGTCGTCATTTAATTGGGCCCAGTCGTTACCGAAGTATAAATATGATAGGGCCCCCATTCCGGCGCTTATTAACACTTTTGACATGAAGAACACAAACTCGGTAGTCTAAAATTGTAAATGAAAATTGGAGAAATATATATATATATATATATATATATATATATATATATATATATATCTTACCTTATCGACGACTATGTATTTCGTACAATTTCGCAAAATTAGTGCAAAGGAGTCTCTAGCACTTGCACAGAAATTCTTACCGTGGATTGCACACATTATATAAGCATTTCTGTAAAAAAACAATAATTGCATATATTTATACTCTTATATATATATATATATATATATATATATATATATATCTGTGTGTGTGCGTGTGTGTGTGTGTATTTCAGTTTCCTCACTTGTTGATAAATTTAATAAAATTCTCCAAACACCAAAAGAAGCATTTCAAAAAGCACAGCAAGCATCGAGTGCAAGGATTATCAAATTTCTTCAACTTCTGGTCGATGTACTCCAAAATAACTCTGATTATTCGACATATTGCTAAAATCAGCGAACCAAAGGCTAAAGTACCCAAATGATACCTAAAATATTAAAAATAATACATAATTAAAAATTGTAAAATATATTTAAAGAAACGATTATGAAGAAAACTGATAATGATTAGGGAATGCAATACCGGTATACCGAATTACCGAATTACCGGTAAACCGCCCGATTTTTCGGCGGTATTTTTACCGGTATTTACCCCAAAAATACCGGTATTTACCCCAAAAATACTGGTATTTTCTGTATTTTTACATAAGCGCTATTTGATACATAACACACTGAAGTTTATTCTCAGAACAAATTTATCTTTAAATTCGATAATCACATAAACAGCTATATCTTCAAGTGATTCTATAGGATAAACAAATGTCAAATATTATCTCAACTCGTCATTAAACTGAATATTTATTGCTTTACTAAGGGCTACATATCGTGTTACAATAAATAGAATTGGACTGATAGATAATGATGTTTGTTTCATCTTATGTAAAAATGTAACGGTTTCTTAAGTGATATTTGCGCCAAAATATTTTATATCATACAGATTACCTCTGCGTAATCTTTATTTTTTTCTAACTTTATACATAATTATTATGATAATTACTAAATATTTTTGTTTTTTATTACAATTATTAAATATTATTTTTCGAAGTTTGAAAATACTATAGAACCATCACATTGTTTTAAATAACAATGCTCAACAATAATAGTAACTTATTATTTATCTCGACAAGGTATCCGATCTTAAATTAGTGTAGAATTTTTTTTTAAATATTGAAGATTATGCTAATTTAACACATCGGATACAGAGAATACAGTTTATTATAATAATGTAATATGATCTTTTATGAGTTTTTTGTCATTCTTACTTATAAGTTTGTTTTTGATGAAAAGTACTCAATATACTCGATAGTAATAATGAATTAATTATATTGGATATAATTTTGTTAAAATATTATTTAAAAACATAAACTTATTGTTCTATTTTATTGTTTAGTTGAATATAGTTGTAGTTGTATATACATTTTTTATATTTATACTAGTAACTTTCAATTTTGTTTACGTTTGTTTAAGATAATAAAAATACCGGTAATTCACCGATATTCCGGTTTTGAAGTGAAAAATTACCGAAATACCGGTATTGAAATTTTCCATCGGTATTGCATTCCCTAATACTGATGATATCAGTCGATATTACCTTATCGTTCTCATAAGTCCTGCTGTCAAGGTAAAGTAAGGCACATCATCTTTATTAAAAGTCCAGTACCATGTTGCAAAAGTTGCAGCCAAAATCATGTCACCCAAAGCTGATATGAAGAACAGCACCCAGAAAAATCCTAACACGTTGTAAGCTAAAAAATAAAAACGGGTGTAGTAATAGTTATATATATATATGTATATATATCTATCTATATATATATATATATATAAATCTCGTGTCACGATGTTGGTTCGCGATGGACGCCCAAACTACTGAACCGATTTTAAATTTTATTGACTTATCGTGTGCAAATATATCCAACTTAGGTTATAGGAAATTTTGAAAAGTAAATTTGAAATATAAATACATAATTTTTATAAATTTCTAAAAATTTTGACAGAAAATGACCAAAAAAAAACAAAACACTAAAATGACAAATGTCAAAATTTATGGAAAATTCAAGAAAAAAAAGATCTATGATTTTTGAAAAATGAAATGAGATGAAATGCTATATTCAAAATCACAATTTATAGTTTTAAATCTAATTAAAAATAAATAAATTAAAATAAATGTTGACACAAAAAACGTCAAATGTCATTTGTCAGTATTTATGAAAATAATTATATAAATAGATTTACGATTTATATTTGACAGAAAGAATATTTTAAGCACCAAAGTAATAAATAATACTTATTAAATGACATATTATTTATAGACAACATTTAATGAATATTTTAATTATATTTTTTGACATTTGCTAATTCAAAATAAATTAAAAATAATTGAAAACAATGTCATAAATCGGATATTTATCGAAAAATATCAAATAAATATATTTATGTTTCACTTGATTTCAAATAAAGAAAAAACTAATTGCTATGCCAAAACAGATAGTATATGCATCTAAAATTATCTAAATCATCTAAATCATCTAAATATATCTAAATATTACAATTTTGATAAATAATCATCCATTATTTTACAGTACGAAAATTGATAAAATATTAATAAAAGTGCCAAAAATCAAACATTTAATAGATTTGGACTCTGATTTCTCACAACTTTATCCATGTTAGTTTCAGGGATAGTATGAATATCAATTTATAGTCGAAAATTTATATGATAAGTGATTAAAACATTATAGGTCACAATAAAAACGCAACATATTGAATTTAACATTAATCATAAACAAAATTCTGACAGTTCAAAAAAAATGAATTTTTAACGACTTCAATAAGATATAAATAAATTAATTATTCCAAGTTATGTTATAGGCAATATTGGCAATCAAATTATAGATATAAATTATATCATATTATATTAAATTTCGATCAAGAAGGAAATATTTTGGCATTTAAAAATTTAGTGCATATTTGATATATGAAATTGACATTTAATATTTTTAAATTAAATGCAAAAGTAAAAAATCTGATATTTATAATTATCGAAATGTAAAGAAATTTGTGTAATAAAAATATAATATCATTGTGGGGATCAAGCAGGCTAGTCATGATTTGTAAAAAACAATGGTACTTGTCATTTTTATATTTTTCATATGAGTAATATTTTATAATGAATAAATTTTATATATTTTTATACGTTGGGAGTTTATACTTTTATTATACATTACAACTTCCACATCATTATAAATATATCTTGTTTATTATAAGAACTTCTGCAAAGCCGCAAAATGTTTTTGATGGCAAAACAGCGTTTGCCGGGTCAGCTAGTATATATATATATATATATATATATATGTATATATATCACTTACCATGGAACCATCCAACTTGTGGTGGATTGTCGATGCCCTTCAAATGGCACGTAGCAAATTCATCGGGATGATTATTGAATCTTCGTGTGCAATATCTGTTGAACAGTTCTGGAGTACACGATACATTATTCTGTAATGAATACAATATTCATGTCTATTAATAAGATAACCCAACAACATTTCTTCTTGAACAAAGAAAAGACATGGAGCAAATTGGACTCTGACTTTCGTCTCATCTCTATTATATTTTTGTTAAATTTGTCAACGGTTTCAGTTTGTAGAGTGTATAATTATTACAAAATAGGGGTTAATGAAAAGAACGTGAAAATTTAGGGTCTCATGTACTTTATATAAGTGTCACGATTTTTGTCTTAAATGGACTTCTAAACTACTAAACCGATTTGAAATTTTATTTGTTCATAGTGTGCATTTATATCTAACTTGGGACATGAACTATATTAAAAATAACCAATTATAGTAAAAACTAGCTGTAAGTGGAATTCTGTCTTAAGGCAATTGGGGCATCGTGCCTTAAGGCAAAATGCTGGAACTTCCCGTACCAAAAATTATTATTTTTTTAAAAACGATTAACATTTTTGAAAAAAAATTACTTAAAAAAAATAGATTTTTGAGAAACTATAAATTTGACAAAAAATTACTTTTTATTGAAAAAAAAAAAAATTTCATTTGAAAAAAAAAATTTGAGAAAAAAAATTTTTTTTTTGAAAACAAAAAAAATTTTTGAAAAAAAATGTTTTCTTCATTTTGACATATTTTGGAAATTCTGAACTTTTTTTCAAAGCAATCGCACTGCTTGAACTGCAGAGATGAAATGTCAAAGCTCGCAAGTGCCGCGCCGCCGCCTAACGCATAAGCATTGGTACGGAACCCATAGAAATAAAAAAAAAATTATACTTATTGTTAAAATCTCTATAAAATATCTGATAATTTGATGTGCGTATGTCTGATGATCATTTTTAACCGCCGAATAGCATTTTTTTTACTTTTTTCATTAGATCTCCGAAACCGCTAGATGAAAATTTGATCAATTCTACATATCTTGTCAATACAAGTAAAATGTTTTTTGAATTATTCAAATTGGACGCTCCGTTCTCTTAAAAACGGAGGTACCGTTTTTGGCACTTTTTGCCCCGTATCTTCGGAACGGCTAGACCTGCCTTCGCCAAAAACTAATCAGCACGTCTCCTTATCAATACAAATCAAATGTTTTTTGAATTATTCAAATCGGTTGATCCGTGTTCCCAAAATCGTCGACGAAAATTTGTATCCGCATATACATCCCATTTTTTCTAAGGTATGCCAAAATGTTCATAAACCTCTGAAACGTAAAGATATATAAAAATTTTCATTTTCGATTTTTTTGCGATTACTATAACTTCCTCTACGGGAAGTTAAAAATTAATAATTGATAATTAACTTCCCGTAAGGTGTTATTGTAATTGTCAAAAAATCGAAATTGAAAATTTTTGGCATATCTTCACGTTTCAGAAGGTTTCTGAACATTTTGGCATACTTTAGAAAAAATAGTGTATGTATGTGCGGACATAATTTTTCGTCCATTTTTTCGCGCGCACGGTTCAACCGATTTGAATGATTCAAAAAACATTCGATTCCTATTGATAAGGAGATGTGCTGATTAGTTTTTTGGCAAAGCAGATTTATTCGCTTTGTAGATACGGAGCAAAGAGTGCAGAAAATAGAAATCGTGTTTTTGACAGAACGGAGCATCCAATTTGAATGATTCAAAAAACATTCAATTCGTTATGATGTGGAGAAGTGGTAATTAGTTTTTCGCAAAGGCAGGCCCAACCATTTTGGAAATACGTAGCTAGATATGCAAAAATTGGCAGTTTTTGAGTGAACTAAGCGTCCGATTTGAATGATCTAAAAAACTTTCTGCTTGTATTGACAAAACAATTGCTTTTGAGGATAAAAAATTCTAACATCTTTTTTTATTTTCCTTAAAATATTTTTGTAATTTTGAATTAAAAATTCAAAAAATTACCCAGGCTAAGCACAGTCTAAGCGCCACTCTGGTACAAATGTTTACCCAAGTGCGTTTAGACTGTTTCTGTATGGAACACTTTTCCAATTTTGTGAAAAAACTATTGAAAAATGTAAAAATGCCGCCAAGCTAAGCACAGTATAAGTGAAAATGTCGCACAAAATTATTTGCAAATGCGTTTAGACTGTGACTATACGGGAGCACTTTTTCAATTTTGTGCAAATTAGACAACCATTTTTTTTTTTAATTGAATTCGAAATGAAATGACGATTGTTAATGTAATAATTGATTTATGATTTACATTTGATTTGTTCAGGTGTAACAAGATAGCAAAAATAATGAAAGTGTTACAGCATTTGTAATAATATATTTGAAAACGTTTAAAATTTCTCGAATGTTTCATTACGCTACGGGAAGTTCCAGCAATTTTCCTTAAGGCACGATGCCATACACCACTAGTTCATTTATTTACCTTGTATCCTACTGCTTCGCCACTGCAAGACCAGTCGTCAGTCATTCCCACAATTTTGAAATCTTGTTCTCCAATCGATGAAAGATGCAAGGCTATAACTACAGCATAAGCTATAACCAAAGTTTGGAAAATCCAGGGAAATATTGGAAAAGCCAGGGTTGTAGTTACAGAACTCACGGCCCTGAAAAAAATAAAACAATTGCAACAAACTTGTCTTGTAATTAAAATTTCCTTTACCCTTTTACCTGCTGCCTTCCTTAATAAGGGCAATGGCCACGACAATTTTCTTTCTCAAGAATATGACGACCAGGAGCAATATTACGAATAAAATAGCCAAGATGATTCCTAAAGTCAACCAGTAGCCTTCTTTATCAAAAATATTTTTGACGGCATTTTTGATATTCGTATTTGCCACAGAACGTTCAATATCAGAATGTTTTAAACGTATGTAGTTCCTGAACGTTAAGTACGTACCTGTGATAAAAAATCGATATATATATATATATATATATATATATATATATATATATTGAATGGTAGTCTTGGATTTGTGTATATTTTGTAGAGTTTCGAACAAGAATCCAAAAATAATACAAAATAAAAAACAAGAAAAGTTTTTAAAAAAACAATTTCTTTATTTAATTATTTGTTTATTGTCGACGTTTCGGAACTAGGTACGTTCCATCTTCAGGACATCTGTCAAGAAACATGATCTTGATGAGATTTTAGCAAACAATATGTTTAGAAAAAGAAAATAGATTTTTCTTAATTAATGAATTAATTGTAAAAAAAATATAATAATGTACAGAAATATGATAATATGTTCAAAATGTCTCATTTATTTTTATCATTTTTATCATTTTCATTTTGAACATATTATCATATTTCTGTACATTATTATATTTTTTTTACAATTAATTCATTAATTAAGAAAAATCTATTTTCTTTTCCTAAACATATTGTTTGCTAAAATCTCATCAAGACCATGTTTCTTGACAGATGTCCTGAAGATGGAACGTACCTAGTTCCGAAACGTCGACAATAAACAAATAATTAAATAAAGAAATTGTTTTTTTAAAAACTTTTCTTGTTTTTTATTTTGTATTATTTTTGGATTCTTGTTCGAAACTCTACAAAATATATATATATATATAAATATATAAATATATATATATATATATATATATATATATATATATATATATATTAGATGAACCGACAGACGTTGTCCTGTACCCACATCTACGTTTTTAATATCCTATACTAATATTTATACAGATCAGTTAAAAATAATCATTATTGGTGTTCGAATTACTATTTACACCAATATATGAGTGATGTTGAATGTAAAACTGTTTCAAATAAAATGATTATTCTCAATTCCTACAGTTAACACTTTAATTATCCATTTAACAAATATGAAATTGTATATTAAAATTATACAATGCAAATTTATTTCCAATAGCTCAATTTATTTAAATGCCAAGGGTTATACAATTTTTCAGTCATACCTGTAGATGTATAAATCAATGATTTTTTGTTTATTCACGACTAAAACATTGATTTTCCAAATTTATCACACAAAAAATCATCGTCTGCCTTTGTGATTTATAGCATAAGATAAACGTTTTGAAAATTAAAGTCTTTTAAAAGGTATAACAAATTCATAAAATATAGCATTCGCGGTATAGGTACAATATCACCTTGGACTTTTCTATCCAAAATGATTGCTTTAATAATGTTGCCTATAATTTTTATAATTACGTGACATATTTTAACTGGCTTTTAGTAATTTACGATCTAATTTTTTTTCACTAATAATTCAATATACATTATTACTTAATTTTATATTTGAAGTGTATTAATTTATCAAATCCTGTTCACATGTGCTCTATTCAACCTACAATCAACAAAATTATTGCAGTAAATAAAGAGGAAAAAAGCGTGTGTCGGAAATAGGCTAATTGAAAACAATTTGCACTTCGTCACTATCCACCGGATTAAATGAATTAGAACTCCTTTAATTCTGATTTTATCAAAACTTGTCATATACTATTTTAAAGGTAATTAAATGAGCTACAACTTTCTCTATCATAAATTTTATCGTAACTTCTCTTATTTTGAAACGGAAAAGGATTGAAGGACTCGAAAGACACTCTGGTTGGACATTATCAACATTTGTGTAACAGAAAAATAATAAAGAGCAATAATTAGTCAGAAAAAGACCTTGAATTTTCATTTATATACCTTTATACGTATCTTTTATTTTTTCAAATAGATTTTTTTTCATGAAATCATGAGGTTTTTGGAAATCGTTTGCACTATAAAGTTATGGTATTTTCTAGAATCCGTCAAAATCTCTTAAACCAAGTTGATTCTAGAGGGAATACGATTACTTTTAATTTTGGTGGAAATGGCACTCAAAAACTATTTGCTTTAAATGAAAAAAAAGTATTGTATGCGTCTTTTATTTGCATGATGGCTCACTCATTTTACACGCAGAAGTACTCATTTTAAAGCTTATTTTGAGTACTATAAAACACCATTTTCATATCTAGCCTAATATTGTTCCTAGAACAATTTATAGAACTCCGATTTATTAGGATTTTAATTGATATTTTGTTCATTACATTATTTTCGTTTAAATGTATATTTTTAGAAATATTTGCAAAAAACGATGAAAAACGCAAAAAACAACAAATTTTCAGTAGCCAGTAACTTGAAAAATAATTTCTTTTTTGAAAAACATTTTCTCTTCTAATTAGTTCTTTTATCGATATCCGACGTTAGTTTGAAAGAGATACAAGTGCACCACTAAAAAGGGATGTCATCCCCTCGGAAAGTGGCAAATGATTCTAAATTATTTTTACTTGAGAGTAAGATGAACCTAATTCCAAAATTTCATGCAAATTGGAGCACATTAGAAATATTCAGACCCAAAATGCTCTATTGTCTTGAGTAAATATTTCGTATTCAATGCCAAACATATCAATTTTTGACACAATGAAACTTCTAAATAATTGTTTGAATAAGTAAATTATTTTTGTATCGTGATTTAGTAAAGTGAGGCAAAACACGACTGCATTTATAAGTTAGAAAATAATAATCAGTCAAAGTGAATTATAGGCTAAGTTTGATGTGCAATCACTGACAGACGCATGGTGACTGTAAATCTTATATTATTTTAATTTTTGGCACATCTCAGCTGCTTTTTGGCAATAATAATGTAGTCATTACATTTTTTTTATTCATAATCATAAATATATTATATTTTAATATTTTTTTAGCCTATAAGTGAATGGAAATGTTTGGCAAATGACAGTCTTCATTTGTTTTAATGTCAAACCATGCCTTAAACATTTTCAAGGGCAAACAATGATAAGCGGTTTTTCGTAATTTTGTCCATTTATTTCTACAATCTAACTATATTTCTATGAATCTAATAATTCTAGAAAATTTCCCGAACAAACTTCAGGTAGATTCATGAAAATCCGAATTATAGTTTAGGAGGATTAACCATTCATACATAGTTACATAAGAATTTTATATATAAGATATATATATATATATATATATATAAATTTTTGAGTACCAAATGATATGAAAGTCTTGTAGTTGTTGTATCTTACCAAATGCCAGCATACACAGAACTCCAAATATGGAAAACCAGACCATGGGTGCAGCCAGCCATCTCATCAGGACGATGTAGCAAAGGCAAACCAACATAGAACAGCATAATGTCAATAGGATTTTCCACCAGGATGCGACGATGTCTTCGACGAACATTGTGCCGACCTAAACAGATATAGTAACGTTATTTATATGAGTATGTATGTGATGAACTGAAAATATGTCTAACTATACCTATCTAAATTAAACTACAGAGGGCTTCTTATAATAATTCGACTTATATTCAAAAAGTACTTATATTATGACTTTAATAAATCGCCACTGAATTATTAGACCCCTCTGAATGCTAGTTTTTATTTTATAGCAATCTTACAAAATCGACAATTCTCGCAAAGGGGGGACCAGTAGAAAATTTTTCGGCTAAAAATCAAAGTTGCTATAATTCGACTTATATTTAAAAAAACTAGATATTTTTGTGCATAGGAAGACTTAGGCAAAGGATAAGTAAGAGGAAAACTTTGATCGCATCCCTCTTCCGTGCCATTTGCTACAGAAATATGATTGTGTAATCCCTTGAATTTTTTTTCCTTAAGGCTAATTGCAAAAACTTCCCGATAGATTTAATAATTAGGATCAACCGAAATTAGGATTTATATGTTTAGATAACATTTTTAACTGTTTATTTCGCAATTCAAGTTTTCGCTTTAAATTACGAGGCACAACTAGTGTGAAATTTTCAAAAAATCGATTTTTCAATTTTTCCATATTTCGATAGGTTATACCTTTAAAAATAACATACCAAAATTTTAAATCGATATCTTAAATAGTTTTTGAGTCACAGCCATTTAAAGAGTATATATGTGGTATATAGTATAACGATCATTTTATCTTTAAACGCGTTTTTCCCGAAACAGCATTTTCCGAATTTGCTGCAGCGATTACTCAAAAACAAATGATCCGATCACTATCAATTTTTTTTACATGTTCTATATATAGTTCTCCGCAAAATGAACTATTGATTTTTTGATCGGATCAAAAATCGAATTTTGGCAGTTTAAAAACGACCAAAATTTTGGGTAAAATTTGCCTTTTTTAAAAAAACGCCGTCATTTTCTCAATTTTTGATTTGTTTTTTTATAGTAGTTCATTTTGCAGACAATATTATCTAGTTTAACGAGATTTTTTTTTAAATTTCATCCACGAAGTAGGACGGAATCACTGCAGCAGTAAAGGGCCTTTTTTTGTCGCACCGTTGGAGATCGACGATAACTTAAAAAATATTAAAATTGTTTCTTCAAAAAATTTACTGTGTATTCTTAAAACATGTATAAATATATTCCTAAAATTTTGAAATGGTTGATAAAGTAGTTTTTTTAATATAAATTCCCAAAAATCACCTTTTTAGGCGGTTACACTATAATTGTGCCCCTTAAATCTAAACATTGAGATTTGTTAAAATCGATTTAGGATTGTGGGTTAGAACGTGGACAAAAAAAATTACACTCTTTTGCAAATTACAAAGAAACGGCTCGGTCAATCTTTGCACAAAAGTGAGAAACGATAGTCATCATAGATTTACATCCAATGGTTTGTGAATTCTTGAAATCGGTTCAGGCGTTTTTGATAAAACATCTATGAGAGGTTTAATGTTGACAAACGCCCAAAAAAGCAACTAATTTTTTCAAACTTTGACGAATAGCCCGGCCAATTTACGCATTCAAGATTACAATAATTTATAATGAGCTGTAATTCGGCAAAATGGTTTAAAATACAATTATAAAAAAAATCTCAAAAGTCCTCATCGTTCCGATGCGAGCTAAAAATATGGCACGCTAAATGGTCAGTTTTATCGCAAAATCACTTAAGACAATATTGTAGAGCATACAATTAGCTACAAAAAATGTTAAGATACTTTTTTTGCTCAAAGCCACCCTTTTAAAGATATATCACTTTGAAAAGTACGTTTGAACGCCACCTACGAGGTAGTGTGCTTAGCTCGATTTTTTTACGTGGTTTTCCCTCATCCCTTTTCAATGCTAGTTGATGAAAAATGCATTAGACAGGCAGAAATATTGGTAGATACAGACAAATCACGAAAAATGCAGTATGTAGACGTACGAAGTTTTTTGTGTGAGAAAAACAAGAGACTGGCTTCGCTTTCATCCCTACTAGATGAAACAGGAGACTAGATTCGATATCATCCCTTTTCAATGCCAGTGGCTGAAAAATGTACGAGACAGGCAGAAATAGGGGTATATACAAAAAAATCACGAGAAATGCATTATGTAGAGTGTGAAGTCTTTCTGAGTGAGAGAAACAGCAGAATGCCTTCGACCTTATCCCTTTTGGTGTCGTTTGCTAAAAAGTGTACGTAAAGTATTACCTAATATCAGATTGCCTCCTAAGCCAGTCATCAGTCAGGTGGATTGGCAATACTAAATTGTACATTCTAAATACTAAATTTCTAATAATCAATATGGAGCTAATATTAACTAACTGGTTTTTGGTACAAAATTGAAATAACCTAGAAAAAAATTGGTTTATATATATCTTCTAGTTATCAATATTGATTGACTTAATATTGACGCCATTATGTTACATCGATATTAATACTGTACTTACTATTGACAATACTAATTTTCTAGTCATTGGCAAAATCCAATATTCATATGGATATTGTGACAATATTTATCAACTATATTAATAATTTTGTGTATTGGTAAGATATTTCACGTCATAATTTGAAATCCACAAAAACTATAACTAAACCATGCTATTACATTATATTCTAAATACTCCCGACCTCCAAAGTTGTAAACAATGCAATGATCTGTTAAAAAAATGAAAAAATATATTACATAAGAAAGAAAGAAAAGACTTTTTGTGGAGACCGGCTTCAGTCTCATCCCTATACATAAATCTAAATGATATAAATCTAATCGATGATATTAAATGATGATAAATTAAAATCGATTATGACTTCGAAAAATTGTGTATATAATTAATATGGTTGATTATGATTATTAATTACAAATGAAATGATCTAATCTAATAAATTATAATACAATTGGTGATAAAATGCAAAACATGATACAAACCAAAAATTTGAACGATATATATATATATATATATATATATATATTATATATATACATATATGTATATATATATATATATATATATATATATATTATTGCGCTTGCCATGAAATTGTTTAAACATTGTGACGTCACAATTGTAGTAGCCAATCATACATTTTTAATCGATTATAAGTAATTCAAAATATTGTTTTTCGTTTTTATTTTACATATTAATATAAATAATAATAAAGTTTTAAAATACATAAAAATAAATAAGTTTTTTTTTTCAAATTCCTCGGTTCATATTCATTATTATCGTAAGAAAAAATTGAAAGGCCAAATTTAAAAAAAGTGCAGATGACTTCCAGTTAAATTGAAAATTAGAAGTTTACAAGATTCTGGAGGATAGATAAACTACAAGATAATTAAATAAGAGTAAAAATTGTCACAAAAGGTTTGAAAAAGTTATAGACTTTAGTTAAGAAATCCACCTTGCTCATTGTTGACTAAATAATTATTTTTAATAAAAAATACGAGTAGATTTTTATAGATTTTTTTTGATAAGGTAAAGAATAACACTCCTATAAGGAATAAGACACCTATATTCAACAAAATAATTTTTCTAGTCAAAAAAAATTTTTTTTCAAGATATTAGAAGAAATGATTTGAACAATGCTAGTATTTGGATAAAATTTTTGATAGTTCTAATTAGGGACCAATTCGGTAACATAGACGTTGTTATGGCAACGCTAATTTGTACTTCTTTCTTGGTACAAAAAATGTGAATATAGTTGCCGTGCGATCAGGAATCGTTCAAGTATTACGTAAGCAGATTTATTACAATTATTTACCCCCCCCCATCCCCCTCGTCAGCAAAAGTAAGCAAAGCTCTTACCACCTACCCATAATAAAAGTATTTTCTTCCGTTGGTAGGTTTTTAGCATTAGTTAAAAATGTAATCATTTTGTAAAATCCTTTGAAATTAAAATAAGACTTAAACTGTCCATTTCAAGTTACCCCGCCTATATGATAAAAAGATCTAGATAACAAATTTTTGGAACATAAAAGAAGCACATTTCCACAGTATACCACAGATAATTTTTCGTTTGAAATTTGTTATTTGTTGTGATATAATTGTTATGGTTTTCACAATACACTTTATATTTGCTCAAAGTCAAATTGGACCTTTGTGCCTCGCCCTGCTCTACATATATAGTTTTTATTAAATTTACTTTAATTCATCGAATGTTACTAGAAACTTTTCAAAAAGCAGGTCAAAGAAGAAATACTTAAATCATTTTCTATCTCTGTTCGCAGAAATTTGAAATTTTTTTGTAAGCTCAGTAGTATTATTTACAATTATACACAAAATCCAGAATCCAAAAAGAATCTGAAAAAATCTTGAAACGTAATCAATAAGTCGAAAGACCAAAAAAGACTTGGATGGATTATACTATGTTTTCTATAGAAAGTGTATAAAACTTCCAGTTTGATTGTATTGACAGAATATAGACGAACTAATGGAGTTTATTGTTTTTATACTACCTCATTGTACATAGCATAGAAACAACACATCCTTATACACTTAAAGTATTAATATCTTTGATTCTCTAGAAATTGTTTAAAATATACCTTAATTAGCAAAACAACGTTTGCCGTGTCAGCTAGTAATTCATAAATAAATATTTTTTTAATTTTATGTGTTTTACATTTTGTAAAAAAAAATTCTTCTTGAAGGGGCCACCAAACAAATTTTGATACGGGGCCCCGCCCAGGCACGCAACGCCCCTGAGGTTAGGTATGATGTATGAAACTCCTGAACGCACAGCAAATACAAAGCATTTTTGACAGTTTTTACTACCAATTCATACGAAGTTAGAGCGTTACAATAACATTTCTATTTTACCCAAAGAAATCATCCCTTCAATCTCAATCTATCCACCACCAGTACCTTCCCCAAATTCCTTTATCTATCTTACCTCGTTCGCCCTTGCCATTCGCTTGACGTTTCGCAATGCCTTCCTCAGTGAATCCGGCGAGAATCCTTCGATGTGCAGTTCGGTACGATTCACAGGGTTCGGTATGCACCGACGCGACACTGAACCGAAAAAATTTACATTTAGATTTGTGATGTGATGATGAAATTATTTTTTATAGGTGTATTAGTGTATGTGAATAATGTTGTGTGAGTGAAAATGGTAATTGGACAAAAGTCGATGTGAGAAAAGGATTGAGTTTGTTTGTTGTGTACGTGTCGACACTGTATGTGTGTCGTCAATCAGCAGGTTAAACAAATCTTAAACTAGTTGGTATTGGTATTTTGCTTTAAGGCAAATTGCTGAACTTCCCGTACAATAATGAAATATTCGAGAAATTTTAAACGTTTTCTCAAATATATTATTACAAATACTGGTACTTTCATTTTTTTTGCTATCTTGTTATATCTAAGCGAATCAAATATAAATCATAAATCATAAATCAATTCATCTCCAGAACATTAACAATCGTCATTTCATTTTGAATTCAATTTAAACTAGTTGGTTTGGTATTTTGCCTTGAGGCAAGTTACATGAACTTCCCGATATGTGTAATTAATCGACCTAATCAATAAAAAATAAATTAATTTATGATTGATTAAAAGTATTCCGAGTGGATTTATTACACATAATTGAAAACGAACGAACACTTTGACACGGAATATTTTCTAAAAGTAAATTTTCAGAAATCAACAAATGTTATAATTGAACCAGTTTCCGTAAGACTTTATTGATTCACTATGTTCATTAAGACCGAGTACTCTATCGTTATACCAAGTAAATTGACTAATTTCAATTTTAACAAACGTCAAAAAAACTATTCATTTCCTCAAACTTCAATGAATTTTTAAAATTAAACTACTTGTCGTAAGACTGTAATATTTCAGTAAGTTCTATAAGACCATGATATATATCGCTGAAAAAAAGTTCCATAAAAATCGGCTTAAATTTTTTTTTCAACAGTTAAATACAAGAAAACGGCTCGGTAGATTTTTACCTAAAACTAATCAGTATCATTCCCAACTAATATATTTCGAACAGTTTTGGATTTTTTAAAATCGATTTGGTAGTTTGAGCTTAAATGTGGAGGAAAGGTTTAACACTTCTCTCCAAATTACAAAGAAACGGCTTAGCAGATCATCGCACAAAACTGACAAACGATAGTCCTCATTGAGATACATCAAATGGCTTTTAAATTTTTGAAATCGGTTCAGGCGTTTTTGAACAAACGTCGATGAAAGTTCTAATTCTGACAAATGCCAAAAAGACAATACTAATTTTTGCAAACTTTGAAGAATTTTTAAAATTAAACGACTTGCCGTAGTGCCGTAATATTTTAGTATGATCTAGAAGACTATGGTATCTACCCCCAAAAAAAAATCATGAAAATCGTCAAAAAAATTTGTTTAACACTTTATTACAAAAAAAAACTGCCTGGCCGATCTTCACCAAAAACTAATCAGCACGATTCCCAATCAATCTTTCGAACGGTTTTTGAATTTTCAAAATCGATTCAGAATTGCGGGCTAAAACGCAGACAAAATTTTTTTCACTTTTTGCGATTTATAAAGAAATAGCTTGGCCGATCGTCGCACAAAACTGACAAACAATAGTCCTCATCGAGATACATCGAGTGGCTTTTACATTTTTGAAATCGGTATAGCCGTTTTTGAGGAAACGTCGATTTACGGCAAAAAATCTGGTCACATACATATACACACACACACACATACTTTTTCCAAATTTAGTCTCATTCGATTCGGAATGGCTTGAAAAGTCGAACGACATATATAAATGTAATAATTAGCTAATTATAATTAGCGAATCGGATTTTTTTTATGAAAACAAACTTCTCCTTCGGAAAGTTAAAAAATTCACTTAAAGTTTTAGCTCTTAATATTGACAGTCTGCAATTCAATTAAAAGTTTTATATATTATCAATATATGTCATTAAGTAAATTCTTGCGCCATCTGTGATAGCATTTGTGAACTCAAATATTATGACACTTAAAATATTTATAAAACACTTAACCTCTAATTAAATCCATGTGGACTGTTTAACAAAATATTTAGTGATTATGGCATCAAAATTAATTTTGCAATAAAATATTTATTTAATTTGTGATTTTGTCACTCAAATTATCGGTAATAAATTGCCATCAAAGTTACAAGTCTGCTATCACAGATGGCGCAAGAATTTACTTAATGATAAAAGTTAAAATAAATATACGAAACTTTTAATTGAATTGCGGGCTATATAAATGTTGATATTGAGAGATAAAACTTTCAGATAATTTTTTTTATCAAATTGGAAGCATTTGAGCCCCTGGGGGCAAAAAATTGAAAAAAATCCATATTAAGGACCAACCTAATATATATATATATATATATATATATATATATACATGTATATATATATATATATATAGTGTTGTGTAATGTTAGAATATAATTTGTATATTAATTTCTTGTATTTTGTGATACACAATTAAATACAAACAAATTTGCTAAAATGCTTTAGATAGGTATGTGTTTTTTCGGTTCAGGCCGTTTTATATTAAACATATGTTTGGATACCATATTTGATCATTTATTTACAATTATAAATAATTAATACTAGTATTATTAGTTGAAGAATCGATTACATAAACACTTGAATAATATTACACAATCCTGGTTTAGTTGTATAAGGCGCTGCGGTCGCTTTAGCATAGTTCCAAACCCAAAAATTATTGTTTCATTCATTACATCCAATTATGTATTTTTTTAAAATGTCCCCTTAATGCATTTATAATAGTGTACATACAAATACATATTTTGTACGAAATAGAAATTAGAAATAATTACATTAATTGTATTCAAATACAAATTTTAGAGGATTTTAATAACAAATTATTTACTTAATCAATACCAGTCGATTTATATTGGTTTAGGATATAAATGAAGTTGCTTATAACGGTGTAGCAAAATTTTAAACCCTAAAACCTGTCAACGAGTTCGACTTGAAGTTAGCCTCGTCGTTGTTAACAAAAATAACATACACGTTGATTATTTATGTTTACACAGACTTCAATTTTTAACAATATGACAAATTATTCTTTTGTTTATGTAATCGATTCTTCATACACATGTTACCTTAATCTCCAATGATAAAGTTTGGATGATAACAGACCCCATCATGCAAAATTCTGATAAATCACTCAAATGCACTAAACAACATGCCAGGATGTTAGATGTTAAATGTTAAAGATGATATTTGCAAGCAACAAGCACATGGCAGATTTATTTACAAAATATTAACCCAACATGCACATTTATATTTATAAAGAATGTATATATATGTATATATATATATATATATATATATAAATATATAATATATAACATATATATACACATATATATAATATATAGATATATATTTACTAGTAGTAAATTATTATTAAGTAGCAATAATTGTCCACAAAGTGGATTCGGTTAAATTTGCTATTTTCAGATTTCTTATTAAGTGTAGTTATGTAGTTATCCAGCTTTTACAAGACGTAGTCGTCAGGTAAATCTTCAACAAAATCGTCATATTTTATCGAAGGTCGTCGTTAGGTTTTTTACAAGCTTGTTAAGTTTTCTACAGGTTTACCAGGTCAGATTTTGTGCAAACTTGTCAGATTTTCTACTGGCTTATTAGATTTCTTACAAGGTCGTAAGGTTTGTTACAAGATTGTCAGATTTAGTACAATTTAATCTGTTTTTTACAAGCTTGTAAGGTTCTAGAAACAATGTATAGAAAGTTGTGAGATTCTCTTCAAAGTTGTCAGATTGTCTTTAAATATATCAGATTTTCTACAAAGCTATCCAACGTCTACAAAGTGGCCCACTCTTCTGCAAAGTCGTTTAGTTGCCTACAAAGTCGTCTAGTTGTATACAAAGTCGTCCAGTTGTATACAAAATTATCCAATTCCAGTTGCCTACAAAGTTGTCCTGTCTTCCATTAAGTTGTTCAGTTGTCTACAAAATTATCTAGTTGTTTACAAAGTCGTCCTGTTATCTACAAAGTTATCCCAACAAAGTTGTCTTGTGATCTATAAAGTTGTACTTTGATCTACAAAGTCGTCCAATCGTTTCCACAATTGTCCAATTATCTACAAAGTCGCCCACTTATGTAAAAAGTCGTCCAGTTGTCTACGAAGTTACCCAGTTGTATACAAAGTTGTCTTGTGATCTACAATGTTTTCCACTTGTCTACAAAGTAGTCCAGACAACTGAAAAGTCAACAAAATAATCCAGTTGTTTACAAAGTTGTCCAATTTTACGAAATTATCCAGTTGTCTACAAAGTTGTCGTTTGATCCATAAAGTTGCTATCCCTACAAAGTTATTCTGTGATCTACGAAGTTGTCCTGTGATCTACAAAAGAGTCCAATAGTCTTCAAAGTCGTCCAGATGTTTACATAGTAGTCCTGTGATCTACAAAGTTATCCTCTGATCTACAAAGTTATTCAGTTGTCTATAAAATTATTCAGTTTTCTACAAAGTTGTCCTATAACAAAGTCGACCAATTGTCTACAAAATTATCCAGTTGTTACAAAATTGTCCTGTTATCTACAAAGTTATCCCTACAAAGTTATCATATGATCTACAAAGTTATCCTGTGATCTACGAAATAGTCCTGTAACCTACAAAGTAGTCCAGTAGTCTACAAAGTAGTCTATTTATCTAGAAAGTTGTCCTGTGATCTACAAAGTCGTTCAATTGTGTACAAACTCATCCAATTGCCTACAAAGTCGTCCGACTTTATAAACGTTATCAGATTTTCTACAAAATTGTTAAATCGAATCAATTTGGTAATATGTATACGATTATCCTTTGTGCCATGGATTTTCTATTGATTTAAAAATGTCTATAATTTCTAGTATTAACTTACATATAGCCTTAATTTTTCATTATTGTCGTTCATTACTTATTGATGTTCATCATCAACAATTCTCAACATTGCCTTTAACTTCCTAATGATTATTTAAGAGTGAAAATAACGTTTCAACTTTGCACTTTTGGATCTTTACTTT